TTATTCAGCATGCCAATTTGTACACGGTTTCCAGTTGTGACCATAAATCTATACTCATGCATGTGCATCCAATCTGGAGAAACTAAATGTATGACACAAAAAATGAAAATGACGTAATAGCAGAAGTAAACATTTGATGATATATGTCTATGCGTATAACTTATAAGCTACGTTTTTCCTTTTGCATGAAACCATGTAGGTAGCAGCCAAGGCAGTTTACTCAGCCATAGCCAACCTAGGCGTGACCCATTTCTGTGCTGCCCCTGTGGTACTCAACACAATCGTGAACGCCTCAAAAGAGGATATCATCCTCCCCCTACCCCGCACTGTCCATGTAATGACAGCGGGCGCTGCTCCACCACCTGCTGTCCTTTCCGCAATGTCCCGCCGCGGTTTTCGCGTCACACACACTTACGGCCTCTCTGAAACTTATGGGCCTTCCACTATATGCGTCTGGAAGCCAGAATGGGATTTACTTCCTCCAGAGGCCCAAGCCCGCCTAAATTCCCGCCAAGGTGTCCGGTATGTCAGCTTGGAGCACCTTGATGTTGTCAGCACTGATAGTGACATGAAACCTGTCCCTTGTGATGGAAAGACGATTGGGGAAATCGTGTTCAGAGGTAACCTTGTGATGAAAGGGTACCTGAAGAACCCTGAAGCCAATAAGGAAGCTTTTGCGGGCGGGTGGTATCACTCGGGAGATCTCGCTGTGAAGCATCCGGATGGTTATGTAGAGATTAAGGACAGGTCAAAGGATATAATCATATCCGGCGGCGAGAATATTAGTAGTGTTGAGGTGGAAAATATTCTGTATCAACACCCGGCTATACTTGAAGTGTCAGTTGTGGCAAGGCCGGATGAGCAGTGGGGGGAGTCACCTTGTGCGTTTGTGACCCTTAAGCCGGAGGTTAAAAACACCACTGATCAAGAACGGCTGGCCAGTGATATTATGAGTTTTAGTAGATTAAAGATGGCGAAATATTGGGTTCCTAAATCGGTGATATTTGGGCCTTTGCCGAAAACAGCGACTGGGAAAATACAGAAGCATTTGTTAAGGGCGAAGGCGAAGGAGCTAGGACCCATTAAAAGGAGCAAGTTATGATCTTTAAGATAATGATGATAAGTTATGATGTGTCTTTCCTGGTTCATGTCCATATATTAGTTCAGTAATGTAATCTTGGGTCTTCAATTTCTTGTTGCACACAAACAATCTATTGGTTATTGAAGCATGCTAGGTTGTCTTTATGCAGTTTATCATGGACATTCTGGCAATTAATAATTTGCATATGAATGAATAGATATTTATAAATGCATGAAACCATCAGTGTTGAAATCCATATTAAGGTTGAAGAAAATAAAATTTTAATGTACCTGAGCCTATTTCATTAAGGTCAGCTATGAGGCTTAAGAACTACGAAAAAACTATTTGTACATGCTGAAAACTATTTGAAATTTTGACGTATACAAGTATACAACGAGAACTTTCATAAGAATTAAATCACTGGCAGAACTAGATGTAGCCTTAGCATACAAAAAGAACTCAGGATCAATGTTGATATAGCCTCTAGGCACTCCAATTAAGAGATGTCTGTAGTTCCTTTGCTCACAACTGTGTTCTTCCCAAATGAGTCTGTATCTAATTTTCATGAATAAATGGAAGCAATTTTGATTTTTGTCGGTTTCAACTGGAAATGGACTCACCATTGCTTTAAGTTGGTCAATGGATTATTACCTTCTTCAACAGATAATGAACATATTTGACAAATTTAAGAATATATGAAGAATTAGATTAAAAACTTTTCCTTCGTGAATGTTTCAAAATTAATAATTGGAAAATTTCACATGAATAATAGAAAGTTTAAATTATTAAAGGTCTTCTGACTCTTCTCATACGGAGTATTAATCTCAAATACAGGTAATTCCTATAATTTGAATTATAAGATGCATCTTCTCCAAACAAACTGGTGAACTAGGGGTGGACTCGGGCCGATTCGGGCCCGGCCGGGCCTCGATTCAGGAAAGGGGAGGCCCGGAACCGGCCAAGGTAACCCCCGGGTCCGGGTCGGGTCGGGCCTGGCCTCGGTTCATGTTTTTTTTTGCCTTTTCCTAATTAACCCCTAACCCCTCACCCCCCACCCCCAAACCATCCCAAATGACCCAAAATACCCAGCCCAACCCAAAAACTTAAAAAAAATTCAAAAAAAATGGCCCGGACCGGGCCGGTTCATGTTTTGAGGGGTCCGAGCCCGGACCAGAACCCCAGCGGGTCGGGCCTACCCGAACCGGTCACTGACCGGGCCCCGGGCCGGGCCGGAACAGTGCCGGTTCGGGCCGGTTCCGGGTCGGGCCACCCGGCCCGAGTTTAGGCCTACGGTGAACTAGTGAACTACATCAACCAACTCAGCAGGATACTGCTTACTCATACACATGTTTGTTTTTGGATTTTCTTTTTTCCTTACTTCCTTTTCTTCTCCTTCCATCTCTTTTGTCGGAACAACCAAAGGATGCCGGCCAGTCCCATTCAATTGTCATTGTCCGTTCGTCGACAGCCGAACGGGCGGTCCAATTGTTCTTCATCCCCGCCTCCCCGGTGATCCCACATGTTACTCATCAACTTATAATATACGTTCATCCCAAATGGTCCTCATGTTGCTCATTGTTTGCTATTATACCATATATGTCTAATAAGGATTTGCAAAAAGTTACTAATCTACCCTGGAATGTGTTTTGCATGAACGGCTACTTTATAAATTATCTACAATGGTGATAATGATTTAGGAAAAAACTAGAAATAAGATGATCAAAAGAATCTTATTTGCCATTCGGCTAAGATAATAAAAACAAAGTAGCCCATTTAACTTCCAAAATCTTAATTGGTTTGGAAAGCTTAACTCGTACTAGATTTATAACAATGATGATAGAAAACAAGAAGAATATGAAGTGTGAATAAAATAAAAATCTCACAGCTTGGATCATCATCTACTAAATTGCACACCAAATTGCAACGAAAACTTAAGAGCTTTTGATTTTATTTATCTTGCAATTTGACATCAACGTTGGTCATGCGCATCTAATCCTGGTTGTGATTTGAACGAGCATGTATGTTATTGGGTACAACCCACACAAAACGAGTCATTATACTTATTTACTAATTACTACACACGAATACTTTTCATGTCTCTTTTGTTAATGAGAAATTTGTGCATAAAGGGACATGATTCTAACTATTTTAACACACGCAATGATTCAAAAAATATACACCTAATATAATAATTAGATAAATTAAAACATGTGCATTTAAGATAAAACTTATATTGAAAAAGTGATCATATAATTATTTAGCACCCGTTTGAGTTTTCAAGTTTTCAGTATGATTTTCACTTTAAATATGAGTATGTCTCTATTATAGCTTTGAGAAGAGTTATTATATACCAAGTCCTAATTCTTGATTCTTAATTATTATAGTGTTCCGTTAATCCGTTTGATGCGGCAACTCTCTAAAGAATATGAACTAATATCACGACTTCTTATGGTGTGATTTTAAAGAAGAGTCCAACATAATTCTCGATTTTATATGTTCTTATTTTAAGTGCTAGGAATTGTAGTTGTTTGAAGTTGCTAATTGGCATTTCTAATACAAGGGTAGGGGTAGTTTCTCTTCAACTCACACCTCAACTATGACACAAAACAATACTTCATGTTGATATTCATGCATATACACGCCAATTGAGTATCAACATAGTTGTGGTGCGGGTTGAAAAGAAACTGTCCATACTCAATTGACATTTATACGCGAATTGAGTATCAACAAATAAGTTAGAATATTAACTTTCTAACGCATTAATTAAGTTAAGATAGAAAATTTCTTTGGCACATCTTAGAATTAAGTGGGTTTTCGGGACCCATTTTTTTTTAAATTGTCTTATACGATGATGCCTTATCATTTTAGTCTAGTATATTTGTTGCATTTGTTATTTAGTCTCTTGTAAAATTATAATATTATAATTATAATAAAATTAGAAAAATACTACGGAGTACTTTTAAGTTTTAAATTAAGTCGAAAGTGTCTTCAAAAAAAAATGAAGTCAAAAGTGTGACTATCTAGCTAGGTTATTAAAATGTGACTCTTTGTTTGCTTTTTTATAATTTTGAGACCTCTGATTATATAATAAATAAAAATCAACATACATTAAGAGGTTTGGCAATACTGTTTTTCGGCTTATCTGGCTTATCAACCAACTTTTTCACCAAACACATAACTTTTTACATCTGCGTGCTGAATTGTATAATAAGCAGAAAAAGTAAGATTGGAGTTGCTTTTCTGATTGTATTGGCTGAAGTTGTTGTAGATGACTATTTTAGCTATTTTATCTATATTTTAAAAATATTTTTTTCTTAAATCAGCAGAATCAGCCAATGCAGCTACTTCAGCCAGAACTTCATAAATTTCAGCAAGATCAGCCAAAACAGCCGATTTTTGTGCTACCAAACGGGCTCTTAGAGCCAAAACAGCCATTATCTTAGTTCTTTTCCCATCCACTATTCTGTCAACAGAAGCATTTGAAGTTAGTGGTGGCCCGGTTCCTGTCTGACCGGTCCGGGAACTGGCCCGGCCCAGCACTGTGCGGGCCCGGACCAGCCCGGTGAACCGGTCCCGGTTCCGGGCCTAGGCCCGGTCCGGGGGGGAGGGGGGGTTGGGCGGGGTGGTTCGGGTCTAGCCTATCCTTTTGTACCGGACCGGCGGGGCCCGGTTCGGGCCTACTTTGTTTTTTTTTCAAAGTTTTTTGTTTTTCCCGGGGGTGGGGGGGGGGTCGGGTGTTAAGTAGAAAAAAAATGAAGAAGCCCGGGGACCGACCCGGATCCAGTGGGAACCCGGGTCGGTTCCGGGCCCGAAGCCAAACCCAAAAAGCCCGCCCAGGATCGGCCCGGAGCCCGGGCCGGCCCGGGACCGGTCCATGCCTATTTGAAGTTAACCCTTTAAAGGCATCATCAATTTCACATGCGGACATGCCTTTCAAACTTCGACCTACAGGCTACAGTTATGCAACCACCAATCCACCATAAACCGCCAACAATCTCTGCAGCTCTGCTTATACTTCCGAAGAGTGAAAGTCATATCTTCGTTCTTATTTGCGGCTTCGCCAAATAAGAGGTATTCTCTCTGCACCTTTTGATTCATCAACTTCTTTTACATTTTAAATAACTTCATTATCTTGAAAATTCACTTGCAAGTTAATCATTTGTAATTTAAAACCATCGCCAAACATGGCTGCATATTATGCACTTTGTAATCACTCATGAACTTGCTCTTCCAAATAACTCATAAACATAATAAAATAGCATTACTGTAGACTCTAGGAAACTTCATCCACTTTCTCTTTAATTTCACAATTGTTGTTCACAACCAACAAAAAAATCAAATTAATTGCTTTGTACATGTAACCTAGATTGCATATGAGGGCGTCACAATCAAACTATTATTCCAGTCCGGGTTAGAGTGTTGGGCCGCATTGGCAGTTTATAATAGTGCCCTGAAAAGGTTACAATTATTGCCCTTAACTAATGGCTCCATACTGTTTGTCAAATGCCTCTGAGAAAGTTCCTAACTGTACTTACTTAAGACTTAAATGGAACATGTAAACACTAGCTTGTCAAATTCACATTTTAGTCACTGGTTTTCTTATTCATGCGTATGGTAAGGGGAAAAAGATCTACACAAAGAGCAGTGGTATTATTACAAGTTACTCTTTGATTAAAATATATACCAATATTCTTACCCAATAAGTGTATAGTAGTATCATGATAGTTCCTAACAGTTGCCACATGTTTATAGAGGAAAGATTGGCCTGTTGATTAACATTTTAGAGGGTCATGCGTTTTCACACATAATGAAATGTCTTCTGGTGCTTACAGCCTTGTTTCTCTGTTTCAAAAATTATATTTTTCCACTTGTTGACCGTATTTATTTTCTTTCAAATTCTGAACTAGCATATTATCCTTGAACCAAATGCCATATTACTCTTTCATCTACACATTCTATGCAAAAATAAAAATATGCATATTCATTCATATATATCATATTAATTAAACATGTGTAATATAATAATTGATTCTCTCCGCATTGGGCACAACTCGCACGAAGTTCGTATGCCGCTAGTTCTGTATATAAGAAAAACTATTTTGCACATGACCGACCGGTAATCGGAATTTTTATGTTATTTCATTCTTACTTCCTTTTTATCGATTTTTGGTTAATTTATTTTAAAACATTTATACTCCCTGTTACTTTTTGTCTTTTTCTGATCATTTTGGATCTTGAAATGTGTCATATTTTAATTTCTTTTTCCGAAATTAATTTGAAAGTAATTAATTCCGCTTTTATGAAACTACATTTATCAAGATGACAATATTAGTTTGAATAAACCGTAGTTATAATGCAATATTTTGTACCCACATGAAATTCTTTATGACACGAGCTTTTCAAAGTGACAATGCTACTACTGACTTTTTTACCTCTCTCTTTTTACCAATATTTTACATTTTGGTTTTGATGTCATTTTATCTTATAATACTACAATTTCATATGAAAATGTCATTATTTTTAATCTGAAAGTTCCATTTCTTTACCCAACCAGTGTGCTATTCTCTTGAATTACATTATTTGGTTCATCTGGTGGTGGTGGAGATTTTCTTGTGAAAAAACTACGTAGTATTATCTTTTGCTTCATTGCAATGTGAGACAACCCAGGATTTAAACACATGTTAGTTTGCTAATTTGGCATTTTTTTGGGTTTATAAACTTACACATTTTAGAAACTGATATATCTTTCTCCATTTGTCAGATTCATTCAGAAAAATTGACAAATTACTTTATGTAGATAAATAATTTAAGTAGTAAAAAAAGAACTTCAGAATGTTAGGTAGTTTATTTAACAATTTATTTTGTTGTGCAGACAGGGCAAGTCAATTCCCTTCTCAAGCTAATTCTTGTAAGCACACCAAATGTATCACAAGGGAGAGGTTGATCTGTACCATTTCAACCATTCCCTTAAGCTTCTGGTCTGCTGCAAAACCACCTGTTGCTCCTCATGCACCGTTTTCGAGAAGAGTTGACAAGTATACGAAGCCTAAAAAAATCACCACAAAGGTTTCTTGATATTATGAGAGCTTCAAAGTACAATGTCACTAATAAACTGGGAAACCATCTTCGCCTTATTGAGGGATGCCTTCAACCGGATAGAGGTAAGCCCGATCTACTCCCCTCCGGTAAAAAAAATCCAATCGAATTGATACATAGACTTCACAAAGAAGGCTTGAAAACTGACCCAGGGTTTTTATCAAATGCTCTGAGTGTGTGCTGTTCTGAAAGAGCTGTTAATATAGGTATTCAAATCCACTGTTTGGTTATGAAAAACGGGTGTTTAACAAATGTATATGTAGGGAGCTCCTTGGTATCATTATACTCTAAATGTGGCTCATTGGAGGTTGCGCACAACCTGTTTGAAGAAATGCCTATAAAGAATGTGGTGTCATGGACTACAGTAATCCATGGATTTTCACAAGTGTTTCAGGTGGATGTCTGTTTGAAATTGTACATGGAAATGCTGAACCATGCATTGATGCCTAATGACTACACCTTCACCAGCTTGCTCAGTGCCTGCACGGGTAGTGGATGCTTTGGTCAAGCTAAGAGTGTTCATTGCCAAACAATCTGCACAGGTTTGGAGTCTCATGTTCATGTCTCAAACGCTCTTATCTCTATGTACTGTAAAGGTGGAGATGTCGAAGACGCTCACTATATATTTCAGAAAATGAACGACAAAGATTTGGTTTCATGGAACTCTATGATTTCAGGGTATGCACAACATGGGCTTGCACCACAAGCCATTGACCTTTTTGAACAAATGAAGGATAAACGGGTAAAACCTGATTCCATTACTTTTCTTGGGATTTTATCTGCTTGCCGCCATGCGGGATTAGTCGAGCAAGGGTGGTTTTATTTCAATTCAATGGCTTTATATGACGAGAAGCCGAGGATAGACCACTTTTCATGCATTGTGGATCTTCTTGGACGAGCTGGAAGGATAGAGGAGGCCCATGATATGATAAAGAAGATGTGTGTGAGCCCGAATGGCGTAATATGGGGTTCATTACTAATGTCCAGTAGGCTTCATGGGAATGCTGAGGTGGGGATTGAAGCTGCAGAAAACAGGCTCATGCTGGAACCGGGGTCTAGGGCTACACACTTGCAGTTGGCTAATCTATATGCAAGCATTGGGCTGTGGCATGAAGCTGCAAGAGTAAGAAAAGAGATGAAAAGTAAGTGGCTTAAGATTGAGTCTGGGTGTAGTTGGATTGAGATAAGGAACGAGATTCATTGTTTTAGAGTAGAAGATGGATCATTTGCTGAATGGATTGAGGTTGTCCCAGTTATGTACATTTTGGCAGATCACATGAGAGATCATGGTAAAGAAACCATCTCTGAGCTTTATTGCAACTAGTCTAGATATAATGGTGCGTTAAACTGAGTGGGTTTGTTATAGACTTGCAGAAAAGTGGTTGTTGTGTCTTGGAAGTATAGCCAACTCTCCTGGAAACTTTTTGATATGATAATCTGAAAGAAAAGGGTACCTGAAGAACCCTAAAGCCAGTAAGGAAGCTTTTGCTGGCGAGTGGTATCACTCGGGCGATCTTGCTGTGAAGCATCCAGATGATTATGTAGAGATTAAGGACAGGTCGAAGGATATAATCATACCTGGCGGCGAGAGTATTAGTAGTGTTGAGGTGGAAAATATTCTGTATCAACTCCCGGCTATACTCGAAGTGTAGGCCACTGGCAAGGCCTGATGAGCAGTGGGGTGAACCACCTTGTGCGTTTGTGACCCATAAGCCGGAGATTAAAAACACCACTGATCAAGAACGGCTGGCTAGTGATATTTGGTTTCCTAAATCGGTGATATTTGGGCTGTTGCCGAAAACAGCGACTGGAAAAATACAGAAGCATTTGTTAAAGGCGAAGGTGAAGGAGATGGGACCTGTTAAAAGGAGCAAGTTATGATCTTTAAGATTTTGATCATAAGTTAAGATGTGCCTTGCTTGGTTCATGTCATTATATTAGTTCAGTAATGTAATCTAGGGTCTTCAATTTCTTGTTGCACACAAACAATCTTTTGGTTATTGAAGCATGCTAGGTTGTCTTGTATGCAGTTTACAATGGACATTCTGGCATTTAACAATTTGCATATGAATAGATAGATATATATCCATGAAACCATCAGTGTGGAAATCTACTATTAAGTTGAAGAAAATATGTTTTAATGTGCCTGAGGCTATTTCCTTAAGGTTAGCTATGAGCCTTAAGAATTAAATCACTGGCACTACTAGAAGTAGCCTTGGCACACAAAAGGAAACATAGCATGAATGTTGTTGTAGCCTCGAGGCACTCCAATTAAGAGATGCCGGTGATCCTTCGTTGACAACTCTGTTCTTCCCAAATGAGCCTTATCTAATTTTCATGAATAAATGAAAGCAATTTTGATTGGAGAAAATTGCCATGGCTAAGACAAAAACATAGGCTTTTTCCCAAAGTAGGACTTAATGTTTGGTTTTCACTAAATAGGACTAACCTTACCTTTTTACCTCTAATTCTATTTACTTAATTAATTAATCTAAATAATTGCCCCCAGTTTCCTTGCACAATCAACGCAGTCCGTCGGTGGCGGGGGAGTCGGTGGCGGCGGCGAACTCCGACAATTAATTAACCCAATTAATTGCCCCCTGTTTTCTTGAACAACCAAGGTAGTCCGTTGGTAGCGGGGGCGGTCTGGCGGCAGCGGCAACGGCGGATTCCGGCGCTGGCTGGCAGCAGAAGAATCGTTGGTAGATCGCCAGAAAAAAATTCTGGGAGTTCTCCGGCGGCAGCGGCCAGTGGCCGACGGAAGTCCGGCGGCGGCTGCAGGTGGTCGGTGGCAGGCAGCAATCCAGGGGCAGCAGTGTGTATATTTTGGTCCAATCACACATAAAAAGTCTTATTTAAGAATGTTTAAACTAATTGGTCTTATTTTGAAAAAACTCCTATTAAGCTAATTTACCACTATGATTGTTGTCAGATTCAACTGGAAATGAACTCCCCGTTGCTCTAAGTTGATCAGCGGATTAATACCTTCGTCAAAAGATAATTAAATTAAAAACTTATCCAAAGTGCAAATTATTATTAGTCTTTCTCATATTAATCTATTGAAAGATTAATTGCAACTTATCCAAAGTGATTTTAATATAATTTAAATTATAATATGCATCTATTGAAAGATTTTTGGTTAAACGAGTCTATTCCTTATATTTCTATCGCAATATATTTTGCACTAGATTAGAGCTAGATAAACCCCTTTTCATTCTCTAAGATTCAAACTGCTTTAGAGGTTTTACCCGACTCATTAATAAGAAGGAAAGTTGCTCTTTATTTATTCATGAGGGGCAGAATGAACATGAGATTAGTTGTTTTCTTACGGGAATTGCAAGAGCAATTGCTTTAATGACCAAAATTGCTGGCAAAACTCTGGCGGTTGAAAATACTTCAGGTAAGATTCTTCCAGCTGATGTGATTCTGATAACTTTGGTTTAAATTTTTTGTGTTGATGGGTATAATTCTAATGGTGAAATGGAAACTTTCATTTTGGGTGCATTGCTAGATTTTGAGCATTTTGATTCTTCTTTAGATTTGGTTTCTAATGATGGTGCTCACACTAATCATATCCCCGTATCTGATGCATTTGAAAATCTTAGGAAATTCTTTCATACCGCTTTGAGAAGGGGGTTAACTCACTTTCTCAATTTCTTCTTTATGAATTTGAGAAACTTCTTGATTCTGCTTTGAATAACCTTGCCATTGTAAGGCCTGGGGATGAAGGGAAATATTCTTTAATTGAGACTCATTTAGAGCAAGCTGATCAAAACGACAGAGTTATAGATTCATGAGGTTTGGGTATTACAAATGGACATACAAATTCTAATTGGAATTATGCAACTCCTACATGTAATCTCTATGAAGCTTCTAATTATGATGTAGCTTTTGGAGGAATGTGCTCTACACAATAATTTCCTTGATCATGTCTCAGAGAATGAGAAGAGGGTTGATTCCTACATCGCCGAGGGAGGACCTGTGGGATTCTGATGCAAATGATTTTATTTGTTGTAAAACTTTGTTGGTTACACGATAAAATTGCTTGCCACACTCAACAAAGAATGTACAAAAAGAAAAATCAATGATCGCATCTCATGAGAACTAAATCTCAATTGCGAGCAAAAGTTTGAAGATTCAATTTAGGGCGCGTGATATTTAGGGAGGGTATTCATTACTATACTTTGAGTTTGGTGCTTTTTATCTTGTTCGCTTCTAATTACTTTCCTTTGATTCTTTTTCTATTTTTTTCTTCACGTTAAATCTTTGCACGTGAAATAATTGCGTGCAAAGCTTGAGGAATCAGTCATCTAGCCTATAAAATATATTACATTGTTTATTTAAATAGGTATTTATTTTTCAGTTGCATGTAAAGTCATTGTGAGGCTTTATAAAAGTAGGGAAAACTGTCAAATAGGTCTCTCTACTATACAGAAAAAGTCAATTAGATCCTCGTACTATAAAAACAATCAATTAAACCCTCCTACTTTGAAAAAACGTTCAATTGCTCCGTTTTGAAGGTAACTATTTGGTTTCCCCGGTTATAAACTCTTGACGTGGCAGCCGAATTGCTTTTTCTTCTTCGGTTCTTCCTACTCCGTATTATTTTTCTCTTTCTTTTTCTATTTTTTTTTTCACATTTTTCTTTTTCTTTGTTGTACGGTAAGTCAGTGACATCTTTGCCGTCTTCACAACTACTCCATGGCATTTTGTTCTCTTCACAATAGAGAGCATATGGGAAGCTTACGGGCACCCAACTCATTTTTAGGCACCTACCGGGGTGCCTAAAAACCAGTGGGTCTAATCTTTTTCTTTCAAAATAGTTAGGATTAAGTTTATCTCTTGTATCTAAAATTTATGCAGCAAATTACTAGTCACTACTATATTTTTGTGAATGAAATTAAAACTGAAAAAGAAAAACAGTTTTTTTTTTTGAATGAAATTAAAATTGAAAAAGCAAAATAGAGAATGGAAGAGGAGAAAAGCAGAGATTGGGAGGAAGGGTTGGAAATTCTAGAGGAAGAATTAAGAAATGAGAATCAAAGCAAAAAAATGAAATGTTGACCGAGTGGCAAAATGGCAAAGTGATTTATGCCACTTGGCTAGGCACGCAGGATGCTACCGGGGTATAATCCAAACTCACCCGGCTAAAAAGTCAGATCGTATCTTTTTGAATAGTTTAAGGATTTAATTGAATGATTTTGCAGTAAAAGACAAAATTAACTTTTTGGATATAGTAGGATGACTTATTTGACAGTTTTCCTAAAAAGTATGCAAAATATTTTATCACCCTTTTCCGTTGAGTAAAAAAATGACTCAAGAGGTCGAAACTCAACTATATAAAAAATGACTCAAGAAGTACAAAAGAATACTTATATTGAGAAATGATCCTGTCCAGCAACTTTCGGTCCGAACAGTGTGCGAACATGGTCATTTGGGGCACTTCCCGGTGAATTTTTTTGATGAAATTTTTTGAGCATGTTCCTCATCAAGTCTAGTTTGTTCATATCAAATTTCAGCTGACTTCAGTCAAATCATTTTTTTTAAGTTGACTGCGCCAAAATATACATATAAAAACGCAGTCAACTTCAAAAAATGATTTGATCGAATTTTGAGCTGAAATTTGGTATGGACAAACTAGACTTGGTGGGGAAGATGCTCAAAAAAATTCATCAAAAAATTCCACCGGGAAGGGCCCCAAATGGCCATGTTCGGACGGAGGCTCCTGTGCGAACGTGGGGACCTGAACATTTCCGTACTTATATTTATATATACACTACTTTTGTCCCAATTTGTTTTGCAAAGTCATTTTTTTTCAACCAAGGTTAATGTTAAAACCTTCCTATTGATAAATAATTCATTTTAATCAATAAAACTTACATATTCGGAAACCACATTACAATCTCTTTAAGTTGGAAAAACCAAACTAAAATTTAATGAGAAGAAGGTCAAAATGGTACATGAAGTTGTTTCGACTAGGGGAGAGCATCGGACGGGTTCGGGTAGGACGGGTTGGGTTTTTGCATACCCTTTCGGTTATCGGGCTGAGAATATAAAACCCTACCCCGTCCAAAAAAGATTTCGGGCTAATCGGGTTGCACAATTTCGGATTTGGGTCGGTTTTAATCGGTTTTCGGGCTCATTCGGGCTGATTACAATCCATTAAAAACATAACATGAATAATTCATAAAATCAGCTTGAAAATAAAATTTTGTACAACTAAACTTTACAAACACAAATAGAATACATAATAATATGTTATCAAAAGCAATTGCAAAATTAGTAGAGTTTGTACAACTCCAAATACAACTAACTTATACACTTATACACTCATACAGTCATACACATTTCTCCAATATTACTTGGTACTTACTTATACACTTACACAATTATACTGCTTATGCATAAAGCAGTTTAACATTTAGAGTTTGACCAATCAAATGTTCCAAAACAACAAGTACCAACAAAAAGTTTAACAACATTCAATTGATGTACAAGTCTTCAGATCTTGACTCTTGACATCACTTGACTACTATAGTGTTTCCAGAATTCCAGGTTTGAGCAATTTCGCAGATCATCAACCAAACAATCATTGATTTTGTTCCTATGTAAGTCACAAGCACATTAGTATCATAAAACACTAAACTATACTGGGAACTTGGGAAGTGGGAAGTACAAAAAAATTCAAAAGTATATAGAAATACAATAAGATTTGGCTCAGATTAAATTTCAGTTCACTAATAATGGGGGCATTAATCACTATATAATTAGAATCAACACCAAACCCATTTATTTCATTTCCTCGTAGAACTGTAGAAGGCTAGAAGCCATCATCATTGCCAAAGTAACTAAGTAAGTAATTCTACAATTCATGTACGAACTCAGAATTCATAAGTACATAGGAAAATTGCAGTAGTAAAACCAAGGCAGCAAGCAACATATCCTTAATTTGACTCAGTTTTGTATTCTTAATTTAATTTTTTGGGTGGAAACTATCATCACTGCTTAAATAATGCAACAATTAATCTAATAACTCATAAGTCATAAATACATATGCATAAGCAAATTCTAGTTTACAGTCTAAGTGGCACCATGTATCTTGTTATATTTGGCT